TAGTGGCCGGCCCAGCCTTAAACCACGACATGTAGCAAAACACAACAGAGCTTTTCTGCTCTATTTAGTACTACTGATGCTTCATTTGGAATCTAGTACCCAATTCTAAGCAACATTGCTTCAGAAAACCATAGACACTGGTGAATCCTGAGAATACAGCAAAACCAAGTAAGAGAAAAAGTAAACTTCTGATTAAAGTCACACCTATCTAGAAGAATTGGACAAATTCAGTCTAGAAGACACAACTAGGATTGAATAGGTACAGGTAGGGTGAATCAAAATTGCTACACTTGAGGTGTGGAAGGGTTTCTTCCAGGACAATTTTTTCCTTGCTTATACTTAAATTCTCGTAATACACCACTGGGCTCAAAGTGAAAGCAAAGCTGAAGATAGCAGAAGCAAGGTACAGGTAGGCAACTGTTTACACACCTGACGTGTTTGAATCGTTCCCGGCCCAGTTTAAGCCTGACTCAACTCACATGCTCAATTCCCATGCAAAGCTCTAGAGTTAGCATGGGCCAAAGGTCATTCCCAACAGGCAGGTAGGATGTGACTGTTCTAAAGACTTAAAAAAAGAAAAAAACATTTAATAACAGTGACATTGACAGGTCAATCTAGCTGGTATCTGCATTGCAAAACAGACATTGACACTGTCCAATTTCTAATAACATTTCGCTGTATCTATGCTTCTAAAGAAGAAAGTGACTGTGTGACTTTTGCCACATTGGCAAAAGATGGGAAAATAAATCAGCTTGCAAAAAAGACTAGTTATTCACCCTCTACTCCCCCCCCCCCCCCCCAAGTATCTAATTTTTCTGACCAACAGGATGGTAAAGTGTGCACAAGCTAGAAGGAATGGAAAATCTCTCCACTGAAGAATTTACCTGACATCAGTAAAGTAAATTCAAGTTAAATGATCTGGTCTCATCTAGCTCTTCTTTTCTAGGATTTACTTAGCTACATCTATTACTTTTTAAGTTTGCCATCTTTGCCAACTCACTCTGAAATGTTATAGGAAAAGATATTCCATGCCATTAAAGCCCTCTCTATTGCCAAGACCTTGAGCAGGGTTTTATCTCCTTTATTAGGGGACTTCAGGGCAAGAATGCACTTTTATGCATTTAACAGCATAGCACAAGGATCATGCATCTTCTTTCTTGTGGTCTTGAATGACAAAGCAGTCTGGCAAACAAATTATAAGGATTAATCTATACGGATTAATTTCATCTTCCAGTTAGTAGTTGTGAACTAGAACAAAATCCAGAAAGCTCTCTTCTCACATAACACAGGTATCCCTCAACCCCCTTCCTCTAAAGCACCATATAAAACTTTAGCCAACACTGCTCTTAGCTTTGTAAGTTCTAAACCAATGAGAGAAATAAGGTAGAAGACCAATGAAAGAAAGGAACACAACTTCAAAAATATGAACACATTGCTTCAGAAAGTACTTCCAAGGAGAGATACCTTAGCACATAGCTGTAATCAGTATGGCAAAGTTTCTGCTTTTTCAGGTCATTGTCATTGACGTCCTAACTGTTTAAGACAGAGTATTAAACACTGGTGTAAGTCCTGGGAATAATGCTGTTAGGCTGCAGAAGCTCAACTCTATGTATCTTGCCCAAACACAAAGCTATCAGGGACCTTTCTTGAAAAGGGAGCCTAAGTCCACAGAACAAGCCCTGAAGACAACAAAATGAAGAACAAAACAAAACCAAATACAACCAGAACCTCTGTACTCAGTAGCAGATCTTCTGCTTTGACCATATACTAGATTCAGAAATTTCCCAATAACAAAAATTAGTTAACTGTAGAATTCAACTAATAAATCCAGTCCTTCAACAATGGCCAAATAACACAAGGAAGAGCACTTGTAGTCACACATTCCTTCACTATAGAGTTGCTGCTATTCTGTAAGTTGCATTTGTCACCCAACTCTATGAGGACTAAAACTCCAAAGCCTACCTGGAGACACATATGCCACACCATGTACACCACCACAGTTTTAGGTTAAAGTCCTCCAACAGTTAAACAGTCTATAAATAAAATATGGCAGCTTTTAAAATATTTACGTACTTTTGGGGTGATCTACTATCAACTTCAGCTTTTAGTCGCAAATTCTCTCTTAAAAGGCTATTGTTTTCCATGCTCAGTTTCTTATTTGCCTAAGGAAAAGAAAAGGAAAAAAACAAGTATAGAGTAAACCAGAAATGACTTCTAATATTTATAGGACAAGCTGTTTCTCCTTTTTAAAGGGACAGAACTAGAAATGTGAAAGCAGGAAACATCCTTCAGACAGGGACACCACTTAAAAATCATCATGGGAAATGGCTTGCAAAACTGAATAGCGAACAGACATTTTTTATTTATATTCCCAAAATACATCGCAAGAGTCCTATCTAGGGAAATAAACACAGCTATGTTAGTTAGTACAGAAAGTCATTAAGGAGGTATACTAATGGCAATTCCATGTTTTTTTTTTCCACATGAGTAAATACGTTAAGTACATTAACATTACAATGTGCAGGTATCAGCAAAACTAATGTTGAACAGCTTCCTCCATTCCAAATTAGAGTAAGATTACTTTGGGTTTTTTGGCTTGTCGTTTTTTAAAGCACAGTTATCCTATGGATGTAAATCCATTATGACAAGCTATTTGCAGTCTTTCTTCACTTTCTTCCAGGACGCTGTGATTAAGGCTCCTGATTCACAGCTCTTCTTATTCGTTGAATTGAGGTCAATTCCTTCTTCTCAGTTCAGTGGACACCCTTGTTAACAAGATACTTCATACAAAGAGAAGTTCTCCTGCTGCCGTGTTTCAGAACAATGAACGCCACCACCCTAACAAGTTGAAAATACTCTTTGCACTTCATAGTCTGCTCAATCTTTGTATGCTGAAAACAGCACCACCAGTCCTGGACTTGTAATTCATAACCTCAATTAGATGATGCTTCCACTGCATAACAGAAGGATAATCTTAAGTTAGATCCCAAGAAGCTATGCAACTGGACTTAGGAGTCAAATGTACTTTTTCCAAAGCATCAAACAGTGCAAGAAGAGAGGCAGAAAACTCTCAAATGCTTATACAAATACCCCAGCAACCTCTCCAGGTGAAGCTAAGATAGTAGGGGTGAGGGGAATGGAGCAGAAAAAAACCCTCAAAAAACTAAGCACCACCCCCCATCCCCAACACCACAATATTCCTAGGGGCAGAAAGAGTAAATAGAGACTTCTGGTAAAGAAGGAATGGGAAGGGTGAGCCCAGGGCTTGGGTGCCTGAGTGACAACTATTTGGTGTTTAAAAAATAAAAGCACAAAAAACTATCCTGAAAGCAATGAGTAAGAATCCAGGACACCTCACTTCCAAAAGGAGCATCAAATAACTTGACAACGTGGCCAAGACCTTTCTCTGTTTCCAGAGATGCAGTTCCCCCAGTCACACAACTGAAAAGGGAATTGTATGACTTGTGCTCAGTTGGTGGGTAGGGCATCCACTTGGCACACGGCAAGACAGGACTGAACCTCTTTTGGTGTCCTTCTTCCATAGAGTGCTCTACCCTCCAAGGCAGTAATCTGCAAGAGATCCCCACCTGCAGCACACCTAGATTAACAATTTCATTTAACTGCATTATTAATGAGTGTACTTTGTCTAGTATTTCTGCTACTGGGTTTGCATCGTTACTTCCATACTCGTTATGACTTCACTCAAAGTCCTAATGCCTACTTTGGGAGTCTTTCCTCTAAGAAATTAAAAGATAAAGGTGGCTGGTATTTTCTGACTCAGTTTGGTTTTAAAAACAAAGTGATGGTAACTACATTTTCTGAGAGACCCCGTCTCATTGGGAAGCAATGGGTGGTTGAAATCTCTGGGTTAGGTACTTTAGGAGCTAAGAAGGTTTCTGGTGTACATGGGGAAGAGTTCTTGCTGTTACTGAACACTTCTTGCTGTTCAGACTGGTGTAGATCAGTGCATAAACAAGGTCTAAAAGAAGACCCAAGTGATTTTAGGTACTTCTGGAATTGAGCAGTTGTTGAACAGAGAACAGATTGGAAGAGAGTGCTTGTATCACAGCTTATGACTTGGTCCATAAAACCCATTGAAACCTCTATTCTTATCTAATCCTTAAGCAACTTCAGAGACTCCATAAACTTAAAAGCCTTTTCTTGCTAAGGATGAAGTTATACTGAAAAAAACCCCAAACACAACATTTAGAAAAAAAATAAAAAGAGACAGTACTGTTTAATTTTATAGAGGAAAAAAACCCTCTACAAAATAACAAAACCACAAAAAAATAAGCAGACAACAACTCCTTGCTGTGAATCCCCTTTTGCCAACTCCAAGTGACTCTGAATCACCTGGGAACCTCTTAAGAGAGCAGAAGATGTGTCTCAGCCTGTAAAGTTGAAGTCTGAGTCTACCAAGCTACTGAAAAAGCTAATTTTGATAACTCAGTTTATTCCTTTTAGTGCTTATCATGCAGTCCAATCAGGGCCACAGCTTGCTTTAGACTACAGAGGCAAATCTAGTAGTGTCCCATTAACAACAGCAGAATGGCACAACGCTATAATGCGGGCCTTTGAGTCTGGAGCACAGGAAAAGCATAAACATTAATGCTTACAAACAAAAAAAATGTCCTAAACATGTAACACTTTGTTTTCACAGGAGGCAACCCAGGACTGTTAAAAGAAGAAATAAAGGCAACATTTTAAATAAATGCAAGTCCAGTTCTGTCCACTTTGCCTTTCAAATTACTCTTGAAATTTCACTCTTCTTCAGCGTTTGAGGTGATCCTTCTTGTGTCTGCATGTACACTTTGCAAGATATTTTTATTTAGATGTACCTTCACATGACTGTCTCCCGCACTCCTTCTTCTGGAATATCAGGTTTTCTTTAATATTAAAGTCAAGATGTATAAAAAAGCCGCAAGTTTCCAGTAAAGGATCTTCTGGTCATAAAATGCTGAAGCTTGTCTATTTTCGGTCAAAGGGTCAAGTTACTCTGTCTCAGCTAATTGCACCAAAAATATCGGCTAGCAGGGAGGGCAATAGTGCAAAATCTGCCTCAGCCAACTGTAGTGTGTTTGGCCAGCGAATGTTGTAAAATAGATATATTATATAGATTATTGCAAGCCTGAAAAATCTGGTCATCAATATTGGTGACAAGTGCTACTATAATCCAATTGCCCAGTCATACTGTGACAGAGGAACTGAAGAAGAGTCACATACAGGACTCACTAGAACAAGCAATATCATCTGACACTTGCAAAGGCTATATGGAAATACTATGATACACCAACAATCAGTGGAATTCAATATTTTCCTCTTTCTTCTGGATCTATGAAGTACCCAGAGGTCATGCTAGCTCTCACTCCCCTTTAACTAACATGAAACAGTTACACTACAAGATAGGTGAAGAAATGTATTTATTACCTCCTTTAACTTTTCCATATTATCCCTCACTTTTTCATACATATCATTGGCAGCTTTCAGCTTTTTGCTCCATTCCTCTGGGGTTTCTGGGCCACTGGCACTTGCTTCATTTGCTGACTGGCTAGTTTCCTCATTTTGGCAAGACAAAGCTGATGCTGTAGGATCCAGAAGAGACTTCAGCTGTGTCTGTAAACTGAGATTTTTACCTCTCAGATCTTCTACTTCTTTTTGCAAGGATTCTATTTCATCCTAAAGGTGTCAGAAATTCACAGGAATTAAAATAATGTGTGAGATTAATTAAATAATACCTGCAAGTACCCACAGCACTTTAGAAACATGGGTTCTGGCAAGCCCAGATGCATGCCTTCACTTACGCATATATCTAAGCATGCTTACGTACTGTGCTCTAGGCAGGATTTTAATCATCCTGCAAACTCAAGCACAGTGAGGGTTTTAGTGAAGGGAATCCCTTGACTACATAAAGGACCCTGAACAAACTGGCGGGCAGACCAAAAGCTTCAAAGGATTCAGCAACATTAATCTATTATTAGGGCACTCTGTGGGAGGATTTCCTGTATCAAGAGAGTTCTTCAGGTCGTCCTCTGCTGACTCATTTGCTGTTATTTGAGAATATTTCTCTCATATAATTTTAAAACATCACATGTTTGGATGCTGAAAGCCTCAAGATTCAAAATGCACAGAACACTGCCTGGAAGAGACTGCTTCAGCTACACGAAAGTAGCAACATCTTAAGACTCAAAATACACTGAACAAAGCTCTTTGCTGTATTGGTCTGAAGCCACAGAGCAGCAAAAATCTTCAAAAGCCTGTTGTTAAAGAGATAAAAGAAATAATTTATCCTGAAAACATATCTTCTATACTTAAGTTCACCAACTTAAATACGCAAGTTGCTCAGGGTCAGATTACGCAAGGAAGTAATAGATGATATTTACATAAATTCGAGGCATATTTGCACAAATAATTAAGCTTCCCACCACCCTCCCAGCATGAGAGCAACCATTTTAAATTTAGGTTTTTTTGAGAGATTTATGTTATTCTACGCGTGATTTTGGAGTCAATTCAATAGAAAGGCAGGAAACCTCCTTTTCCTGACTCTTTCTTTTACAGAGGTTGAAACAAGCTGAGCTACAGGCAAGCTTGTTATAAAAGACAGCCCTTACTTCCCCACTGTTAAGGATATCTATAGTGTCTTGCTTCCTTTCTCTCATTCTCCTCTCCGAGACAGGTTTCCTTGCAAAATATGCAATGTCTTCACACTGCTGCTACTAAGGAAACAACAAACTAATCATATCCCTTATTAACAACTTTTCAACTTGTTCCTAAGAAAATATTTTTCCAGCAGGAGAGTGAAGATAAACTTCCAAGCATTCACTCACTTTCAGAAAACAATAAAGCAACAATGACAAAAATTAACTTATGCCAGAAGGTTACAGTGGTCAATATTCTTTAAGAAGGAAATTGGTCTCCTTGAGCAACAGAGAATTACTTCAGAAAATGTTTGCACCTGTAGTGACGATAAAGCAAAAAGCCTCCACATCTAATACGCATAAAGAAAACCCTCCCATACCATCTGAGGGTGGAATTCCCACAAAACTATGGAATTTGCTGTACTTAGCTACCTTTAGCATAGAAAGAATAACACTGTGACTTCAGTGGGATCACTTCAAGCACCAGTAAATGCTCTCTTGTAACCTTAGCCAGAAGGTAGGATTTTGATGCAGCTGAGTTTCACGTAGATTTAGTATAAACAAATTAAAATTAAATTAAGAACAATGGAACTCAAAGCAAAAGGACCAGTTGTATACAGTAATTTAACAGTTGCAGTTCATCTGGAAAGTCACAACACTCTCCATGTCCTTACCTCATATTCTTTGTGGAGCAACTCAAGCCTTGTTTTACGTAGGTGTTTTCTGACTGTTGGACTAAATACAGGATCACTTTCACTCGTTCCTCCTAAAGCAGCACAGGATGAAAGAAACACCAATATTTTTTCTTTTTCAGTTAATTCAGTATAGTAATCCACCTCAGTGTTTTTCATATTATCCACAACTACAGCTAATATTGGACCAGCCTACTACCATGGGAGATTTAAAGTGCTTTCATGTTCAGAACGGGTTAAACAGGAGTCTCTATTAGTGACGTTTAGAAGTCAAAATCTTACCTTACAGCAGGAAGACAAGTTCTGAATTTTTCAACTTTGCATTTGCCTTGACAGAATCCTATCTTATTTAAGACCATACTATTAAAACAGAGCTAAGGGGCAGGGGGAAGGGGAAATCACACATAGTACAAGATAGTTAAGTTTTTAAAGTGAGATTGTTCAGATATATCTTTCTCTGAGAACCAAATAGCAGTGCTGATATTTTATGTCAAATTAAGATCACAGTACTTCCTAGCTCTGGGGAAGCTCAGATCCTTATTCAGGTGTCGCAGCTTTGACTTATTTCTGTGCAAAAAGACATTTTCTTAAAAATAAAGCAAAACAGAGGGAATGGTGAACGAAACAAAACAAACCAAACAAACAAAAAAAGAAAAAAGCCCATATACCCATTCAAGATTCTGGATTTAAATACACTATTTCTCAGCTAAATGGTATTCTCTTAGGTCAACAGGTTGAAACGCCTAGGCAGAGTACTTGAAGCTAAATGCTTTTTTCCCCAGTTAAAGGCACCATTCAACCACTATTTAAAAAACAGTCACTAGAACCATGGGGTGCTTGCTGCCTTTGAATAATCTAGTTATTAATACACACATCACCTTCAGAATTTTTACCCTGTAGCTATGATGTATGCTTCCAGAAAGAGTTAAAGTCAGATCTTCCTTAGATGGTGGTAAAAAAACCACAGAGGAAAAATGTCCAGACATCATTGGAATCAAAAGAATCTCCTCCAGCAGTAAATACCAGAGAGTTATTTAAAAGCCTAAAGTTGTCCTTACCTATAATTTCTTTGCAAGGATTTTCAGGCGTGATGGGAATCCTGCAAGCTGGACACTGATTATTGTTCTTCAGCCACACTTCAATACAAATGGAACAGAAGACATGGTTGTTGACACAGATGACTGGGTGACGGACCTTTTAGTATTAAGGCAGGGGGGAAGAAGAGGGGAAAAAAAAAAAGAAAAATGCTATGAATACTTTAAAACTCTTTCAGGCAACAGAATACAAAAATACACTACTCCATCTCTCAGTGCAAGTCTGGTCTTGCAAGAGACACTTGTTTCACAGGGCTGGCTAGGAGTGACCTCCTGACTCGTAACACCAAACTTCCCTATTATTGAAGGCACCAATGCTATAACCATTTTTGCAAAACTAAGGTCCTTGATTTCAAGAGCTCATTAATACACAGTGTGGTGGGCACTCTTCCTTCACCCCACAACCTCCAAGAACTGCAGCCAACCACCCCAGTGAAATGCATTTGACTCCCTGGGTTGAGAGAAACCAAAAGACACACATTAACTGATTTTGAAAAGTGAGGGAATGAGGGATTGTTTCTGGCAACGAGCAACACTCTGTCTTGGAAGAGGTGCCGCTGAAACGGATAGAGTTACAGATTAACTGCACATAATCAGCTTCATGGAAACCAGCCTTAAAAAGGAGAAGGGCCAAACCCACAGAGCAGAAATGTGAACCAGCAATCACTAATTCAAGCCTCCTGCTAGATATGCATTGCTACTAAATAAGTCATTACTCAAGAATGGGGCAGCTAACCGAAGGATTAAATAGTCCAATCAGACACAGAACATTTCAAGAAGCTTTCCCTCCCCTTCCAGAACAGCAGGGTAATCAAACTTTTAGAAAATATTAACAACAATGGATTATTCTTGTCATTTAACTATAAATCCTGTCTGAAAGTATGTGTGCATAGAGGGACCAAATATGATACAGGAGAAAAAGACTTTCCCCTATATCTATGCCTCACTGCAGCTTCTGTTACAGCTTACTGTAATACACACTCTCAAATCTCTTAAGACTTAATAGTACTATCTATGTTAGGTGTCTTAAAAAATTATTTCCTTTTCCTCCACCACTATCTTTGCTCAAGAAACATGTTCTGAGACACAGAAGTAGCAGTATGTATTACTTCAGAATCTACTGTGTTGCACTCAAAGCCCCAGTTCAAGAGAATTCTTTCAACTTTAAAAGAGGTCCTCATTATCCCTGAGATCTTCTGCTTTCATGCTATTAGTCGTCAAACTAAAAAGGAAAAATTAAACATTGGCAGGGAAAAGGAAGCAACTGGAAAGGACAGCCAAAAACCATTACAGAAAATTAGATGTGTCCTGTAGTAATTATACGCATACAATCATCGTTGCACAAGCTAAAAACCAGGAGTTTTACCACTGGAATAAACATGGATCTGAATTAAAGCTCAGATCTGTCAGCTTGGAGAACAATTTGCTATCTGTGCCTCTGTCACATTACAGGATTCACAGCATCTTTAAAACCTCCAATATGACAGTCCTGAGAGCCAAAGGATTTATCTACACACAAACAGAAACTCAAGTTACTGAAGGTGTGAAGAGAAAGAGACTGATTTCTCCAAGTGTCTGCACACTTTCAGCTCTAATTAAGGAGCCTTTTTTGTGATTAATGCAAGCATTAGCAAACCAATGCTTTGGAAATGTTTAAATATTACAATTTCGATTATTAAAAAAAAAATCTCGTTATTTACTGCTTTTCTTTACCAGAAAAAGCTTTCTCCAGCTTTCTCACCAGCAGCTAGAAGAAAAAAACACAACTTCTTCTCTGACTGTGCTTATGTATTCCTCAGAAACAACCTGAGAATAGCTACATGGATGGCAATTATAGGATATGGAACAGAATAATATCAAATAATCCGAACAGGAAAAAACATTTGAGGAGTGCAGGTCTCCCCCCCACGGAGCAAGAGACCCTCAGTTACTCCAAACCTGACAGAGAAGCGCACTTCTTGCACGTGAATGATTACTCTGAATCTCTAGCAAAATAGTAAGTCACATTTATTACTCACCAAGGTATAGTGCTTCTGATTTACACATCTTTACAAGTTTCATTTCAGTTTCACACTTTTGTTGGCTCGGGATGCACACAAAGCAACCCACGCGACAGCGGCAGAAGCTGCTATTGAAGTGTCACAGAATGGCTGAGGGTGCCGCTGCCCTTCACCGAGTTCCTGAGCCACCACTTGCGACAAGCCCAAGGGGTAGGGGATTGTGACACACTCATTACTAAAAAGGCATTTTCACGTGAATTACAGCACAGTCTCAGTTCCTTAATCGACCACGTCTAGAAAGACTACAGCTTGTTTGAGAAGGCTTGATCAGCTAAGTGATTCTGAGCAATTTCCTATTTCCCACCCCCCTCCCCCCTTTCTACACAGACCAAAATCAAATCCTATACCCATCTACGTCGCTTTGAAGACACTTTTGGACCTTTGAGCAGCATTAACAGAGGAGCAGATGTGTGAAAAAGTAGGCACACTGATGATACCAGTGAATGAATCCCCAGACATTCTTGGTGGGGGTTTAACACTCACAGAATTGTGTGCCCAAGCAAACTGTCAACAGCAAAACCAACAGGAGAGACATTCAGTCACTCTAGGATAAGTAAACCTAAGAGTCCCATGCAGATGGCTTCTGATCTGCTCACTAATTGTAAATACAGGTATGTTAGAAGATAGCATAGACTGCATTAAAAGAACACTCAGGTAACAAACATGGAATTTATCCAAGCAATTAACTCTTATTATAAATGGTTATTTGCACATTTCACCAATATACTTTATGACACTGTTCACACTGACAAAATGGACTAACTTTCCTCCCCCCCACTCCAAGATTTCTGCTTCATTAAAAAAGTGGTCAACATTACTGAATGAGTTTCCTCTTCAATCTCTTTTTTTATCCCATTACCATTATGCACAGTGAATGGTTTCCATTTTGCAGGTAGTCCTTTGCAAATTTTGCAGAGATAGTAAGAGGTACATTCTGATTGTAGGGTGGGCCTTCTACTCAATTTGAAGCCTATGCTACAAATCACAGAAGTATTAGAATACGTCAATTCTCCAAGACACTTCCTGCTCTTCTCTACAAGGTAGGCCAAAACCAGCAAGATTTTCCCCTTAATTTAAACTAAGTAACTTCTTCCTCTAACCTTGCTCTTGAGATGAGCTTTTTCTGACCAGCTTTTTCAACAAAGTTCCAAGCTAGAGACAAAAATATGTATTTTTTTAAAAAAAAAAGGACAGAGCTGTCAACTTCCGGAAAATATAATCAGCTTCATTCATGTAAAAAGGAAAGCATTCAAATACCTTTCTTACAAATATCACCAGCAGATCCGCTTGTATAATGTTAATATATTATCTCAGTGCAAGTATAAGAAGAGTGTGGAAATCTCTTCCAGTACAAACTCAGAAACATCAGTACCTGAACAACTCCAGAAAAGAAGGGGAAGTATGAAATAGTGGTTTGAAATAACCCAGTGACTTTACAGCAAAATATGAGTGAATACCTAACAAATCTATCAAGTGTTTAGATTAGAAAGTCATTATGATCAGTTTCAAATAGCAAATACATTGCCAGTTTGATTTCACTCTCTTTTTCAAGAGTATCCACTCTGCATGACAGACACAGTAAGTTTGTCTTCTTCTCCATTTTCATTAAGCAGATAAATAGGAAAGGAGAGGTAGCAGGATCACAGCCAGTCTTGCTTGGCTTCTACAGAAAAGCCAAGAAATGAGTAAACTTGCTAAGAGCATCACTGTCAGAGTAAAGAGTTAAGAAAATGGAGATGTTTGACTACTTTCACTACCAGCCCTACACCTCCTTCATACATCAAACATGCCTGTTCTTTTGTTACCACTCCAAGCAGAAAAGGTCTTGGAATAAAGGCCACGTGAGGTAGGAAGAAACCGGACAGTAAATGCAAGAGTATAAACATAAAAGGCTATTTCTTCCCTTGCAATCACTGCAGTGCTTTAAGAGGTTTGTTATGTTCTGGAGAGCAAATAAACAAGAAAAAAAAAAGAGTAGCGGGAAACGAACAAAGAATTTGAGAAGCAATTAGTAACTGCTATGAAATTAGCTCTGGGGCTTTTAGAGAACAGGCTAGCAAGAGCCCTCTGCTTCCCGAGGGAGAAGAGAAAGCGACTGAGAAAGGGTCAGAAAGTAGAAGCAGAAACTTTTTCTTCAGACCGCTGCAGGTTTGCTCAATACTTTTTAAATCCACTTGGTTACACACCCCCTCTTTGTTTCGCTTGTCCTCTGCGACGCAGCACCGCGCATTCACCCAGTATTTTAAAACAAATCCTCCTGCTGATACCGGCAGAAAAAAACCCCAAACCTCAAAACCTTCACCCTGGGAGTCACACACCCACGTTTCGGCGATCTCGGGGACTGGGGCCCCCAACCCCTCAGCCCTTGGAAGGGCCCGCACGGCTCCCACCATCCCAACGGTGGCAACAAACCTCGCCCGCAGCCGGGAATGCTCCCCCAAGGGTACGGGATCGCCTCCTCCCCGAGGCGGGACCCTCACCACCCCGAGATCCTTGATGGGAGACCCCATCCCTCAACTTCCTTCC